TTGTGTTAGCTAGCTAGGACCAGCTAAATCCGACCGTTTGCCGTCATGTTTCTAAATTGTGCCACACGCGTCTCGTTTATTTGTTTGGCGCTTCACTTGATGTTAGTAACGTTACCACGCGCTACCATTACATTGTGACAGACAGAAACATCAAGGTAGCAGTGACTGCATTTTGGATCGTCTCTTTTTTCTGCATAAGAAGAAATTTCTAGAGACTAAGCTTTATTTTCAAACATTTTTAGCAGATTTTGTTTTGATTCATGTGTTATTTTTGCTTCATTTTATTCCGTGATTTTGTATCAAGAAACCCGACGGCAAGAAAATTAATATCAAAGCCGGTGGGACAGCTTCTACAGGAAGAAATGGAAATATTTGTTACAGAAAGAAAAGCACTCACTGTACGTAGTTGGGAGTGATGTGTTTTGCTGGACACCAGTGATTTCTCTCCTTTTCATTAACAGAGTTTTGAAAGCAACAAATAATAAATTTGGAGAAATAAAGTTTGCATCATGTGCATAAAAAAAAAATCATCGTGCTTTTGCCTTTAATTCGCATGTCGTGGCTTTTTTAAACTCTCTCTTCAATCCACTGAATTATGGATATATATATTATCTTTTTATCTATATCTATATTATCTTTTTTATACGAAAAAAAGACATGAGAATGTGTGTATTCAGCGAATGGCAACCTCATTACTAATTTTAAAAAAGCAGAAAAAAAAACAGTTTAAATTTGTAATACACAGTATTCACAAATGGCGGACACGCAGGAAAAAACTGGCGCCTAGTCATGAAAGCGAGGCGTTGGAGGATAAACAAATATTGCAAATGAAGACTGTGCAGGGGTAAAATGCCCTCCGTTTTTATTTTGGTGTCACATTAGTACATGTAAATTTATCCACGTAAAGTTACTGTCATGTGTGTAAAAGTATGCAAGCATAAATTTACATGTAGTAATGTGACACCAAAAAAAGAAAACGGAGGGCATTTTACACTTTTTTATCTCGTATTTACCTAGGTAAAAAGTCTGTAGTGTGACCACAGCTATTGTCTCAACTCTGAAGCATTTGACATATTTTGTACGTGACAACATAGAGCCGGTGCGCCCTTTCATAAACTTGTAGCATTTGAATAATGCGCAATTAAATGGATCTTCAGCTTTTGAATCGCACACATGCGAAAATATTGACATAGTTCGCGATGTTAGTATTCTCCATTGTTACTCCCTTCGACTTCTGTCAGCGCAAAACCAGCGAGTTGCATATAAATTAGCTTCTCAGGAATATTTAGGCTGTGCACGTGACCAGCCGATGCCAGGGCGTTTTCCAGCCGCACCCATTTTTTAAGGGAAAAGCCTAGGGGACGAGGTTGGCGAAAAGTGTGAGCCTTTTTTTTTCACTTTTTTTTAATTACGTAATTACTTAATTAATAAACATTGTTCATTTTTGAGGGCCCTACTCCCTAATCAAAAACCGCCAAGGCGAGTTGGGCTCCCTCTTTAAACTTTATTATCATTATTTTTATCATTATTTTTATTTATTATGAACGTCCATTGTTTAACACCCGTTAATTGTCCGATAATTATTACTTTTCTGAAAACGCATAAGTTCCCCAGCAGAGCTTTGTCGATTCACTATTAAATACCCCAGAGGATAGTGAAGTAGCTTGATATCAGGAAGGGGGAATCTCCTGTAAGGGATACGGCATGCTTCCTTTCGGGATGGCTGGCCACAGCGGTGTCGGTGATAAAAATTTGGTTTGTTTAATTTGTCTTTATTCGTGTCTCAATCATTGCCTGAAGGGTGATTGATCTGATACGGCATCCTACAAATTGAGATTAAGAGCCTGTTTACATGGCCGTGTAGGGGGACCCCAGGTAAGTGCCGTAACCCGCTTTGGTATGGTAACGCGCCTGTCCATATAATCTCTCATTTTAATTTGATCACGTTTACATGATAGTTGGGGTGACCCGCCACATGTTATCTCACCTATCTGGGGTCCCCCACCTTCATGTAAACAGGCCCTAAAAGGATTGGTCTTTTCTAAGGACAGAATAAGGTCCAGTTAAACTCCTATGTCTGCATTAAGGGTGGAAAATCACCCTAAACAAGCCAAGAAGATATTAGGCTAGCTCTAGGGGCGCCGTCTGCTCGGTTCTCATTGCCAGAATCATCGTGTTACGAAGTAGAACCAGCGTGATAGGACAGACGATGCCTTTATTAATATAAAAGACCCTGATCGAGGGCAGTTAACGAGGTCCTATATTTACCTTAATATCTGTGCCTCTTTGCGTTATCTCTTTCAGCGAGATACATGTATATAAAGCCCGGGATGTGGAGTCACATAGCTCTTCCCAGGCGAGGCGTTTGGAAAGAGCTGTTGCAGTTCTCCACTTTTTGAAATACCTTAATTTCAAAAGAATTCACTCCAATAATAAAATAAAAATAAAACTTTAATAGTAACATCCCCAACGGACTTTTCAGAAACTATTTACAAAAGAATGTGAATAAATTTAATATTAAAGAGAGTAAAACATCGTCCAAGTGTTAAAGAAATAACCTACTCAGAAACCTACTCAATATATTATGATATAATTAGTACAAAAGTTTGGGTTACCTGCAAATAAATTACAAATTGCACTGAGCATGAAGATATTCTTTCATGGATGCCTTGAACTTTGTAAGAGAACTGCTATTTTTTAAATTTATATTGTTATCTAGGCTGTTGCAAATGCTTGTCGCTTTAAAGGTGAAAGTACGTTGGCCTGAAGCAGTTTTAAAAAGGAGTAAAACTGTATTTGAATCGCGCTTGCGACTAAAGCGATCTTGTATATTAGAGCGTTTGCAAAATTTGCTGCAGACGTAAGAAATCTGTAAGATAATGGCGAACAGGACTTAAACAAGTGCTTTCTTGTTGACTTAACCAAAGAGTTTCATTATTAATAACTGAAAAAAAGACAGAAAACTAGCTGATATAATAAAGGTCACTACCTAAGGATCACACCAGGATTACAACGCTTAAAAGGCCAAAAATGATACCATATTTATCGAGACCCTCACAAACCATACGTTATCGGACAAAACATACGGTATTTCCCCCACCTTCCCCTTTAAGGGATTTGTCTTCACCCAAGCTTACAAAGTGCTTTCTATTGAACGGCGGAAACCTTAATGATGACATGACTCCTGGGTTCAAACAATTTACAGTGAACATATTAGTTATGAAAATTATAAGTTTACATTCAGATGCAAAAACAGCGGTGAATTGGTTCAGTGCAGCTATTGTTTGGCAACAAGAGGCCTTTTGGAGGATTTGCGAAAAATCAGCTCGAGAATAACAGGCAAACACTTTACCAAAGTCATTACATTTGCGAACTCACACTTGCTTAAGAGTAAGAACTTGATGTCCAAAGTTTGCTAATGACTGGCTTAAGTTATCTTAGTCCACAGGGAATAACATTTCAGGTACGAATACTAATAAAATTACAAGTTGTAAATAAACAAAATTTCCAAGAATAACTTTTAATATGCCTGAAAAGAAAAACAGAACGTTCGTTCAAATTGACAAAACTCTCACTAAAATTTTTTATGTACAAGTAACATGCATTAACTCATCAAAGTGTCAGTAATGATCCGTCCTATTGGGCTGCAGTATCACTGAAAGAAATAAAGAAAAAGGCACTAGCTTTAACCAACATTCAATAAAATAAGCTACAATAAGAGAAAAATTGATAAACAGTGGTGAATTTATTTATACATTTATTTTGTGATCCTGCCGTCGAAGACCCGAAGTGTCACAAGTCACAACTTAAATTTCCACTCGTCATCTTTTTCTGGTTGGTGTTTCGTCAAAGTACTTTTTTTCATTTTTAAACTAATTTAGAGTCAGAACTATTATCTATTGTTATATTCATTTCCTTGTTCTAAGCATGAATTTTTATTCGTTTCCAAGTATTCAGCCTTTACTTCAGTATTTGTGGACCTTGAAGAGAACTTTTTTTTTTTTCCGCCATGTACGGTTACGTTTTAAGAAACATGCACGAGTGACTTTTTAATTAGACTTTTTGCAATCAAGTTTTTAATTAGGGCTAAGAAACAGCTCAAAAAACCACTTTTGAAAGATGAACGTAAGTTCTTTATTAAAAAGCTAATTGCTTTAAATTATTATCCTTTTAACCGAATTTTACTTACTGTAAAACTGTACTGAAATCTATTCCAATAGCATCTTGGTAAAATTTAGTTACTTCATAACTAGTGATTTGATTTGGATTTTTGTTTTGAACTGAATTCGGTCATTAGTATAAAATATATCCATTTTTGCTGAACTCAACTCAATTTCAAATACTTATGTTCGCCAATCGCGTGCGAAAAGCTATAGTGGAACCTCTCCATTGGGAAACCACCATTCAAGGGACACCTCCATGCAGGGGACACAAAATTTGGTCCCGGAAAAATTTTCATGTAATCTTTGTATCTGTTACCTCTATTGAAGGGACACCTTTATTCAGGGGAAAGGGCCACTTTTTCTGGGTCTCGAAACCCGTGTTTAACCTCCATTCAGGAGACTTCTTGACTGACCACAAAGAAAGTTGACATCTTTAATTGTACACTAAGCAAAATTAGGGAAGCTTTCACAAACTGAACTATCTCGATGAAATGCACTTGTGTGAATTCAACATATAATACCGCAGGGATACGCTAATGATGATTTTTAATGTTGTCTTTGTTGGTTAATTATTAACAAACCCCAGCCTAACCTCTATTCAGGGGACACATCTGTTCAAGGGATATTTGCCCAAGTTCCGAGGATGTCCCCGTGAATAAAGGTTCCACTGTACTTTCTGCATATGTATGAGTAATATATCCTCTTTTCCTTAAAAATAACAGCATGAAATCGAGCCACTCTTGGAGAGCTAAACATTACGTGAGATCCTGGAGCCTAACAGTGCTCTGTCTCTCATCTGACAATCGAACTACCAGATGAACTTAGCATATAAGAATCTCACCTTGATTGTCCAAAATCCATTGTCACGTCATCACCAATCAACATGAATGGCGCCCAGTATTTTATTGCACTGAAGTCGCCTGTCTTCTGCATCCATTTCATGGTTTGATTAAGGGACTTACTTGCACTTTGCCCTGCCATCAATTGTTCGTAAAAATGTTTCATAAACACCAGAGTGGCCTCGTCGCTAATCTCCCACAGCGACGTGATGACGGCACGTGCACCGGCTGCTAAAAAAGAACGTGCAATACCAACCACGCCCTCGGCTTTGATCTTCCCTCGCCCAGTGTAACAGCTGCTTAAGACAACAAGCTTGGCGTTTAATTTTGCATTCAATACGTCTGCCATTGACAAAAGAAAGTCTTCCTCTTCTGGTTTTTTGGAACTAGCGTTGTTAGGAGACAGAATGATTTCGCCAGTTTCTACATGACCATGAGCTGCTATGTGAACCAGGGAGACTGATTGAAGCCCACTTAAAACTTGGTCTTTCGTAGCATTCTTTCCGATGAGAGGCTTAATGTTAAGTATTTGGCCAATAATTTTGACCTCTTCCTCAGCACCTGGAAGCGGTGCTAACTTGTCGAATTTGTCGGGGAAGCGCACAGTTTTCACCCACGGATTACCAACAAGAAGCGCACCAGATGTACTGTGGTGCCCCTCTGGACAGTCTGTTAGCAGACGTAAGGTGGTTAGTGATGGAGCCAGTCGAATTCTCAGCGTCTCAGACAAATACCTGGAATGCTGGTCCACAAGGGAAGCATAGGGAATGAAGAACGATGAACCATCAGGTACAATGATAAGTTCATCGTCTGTTATCCATTGTGATGTCGGAGCTATAATGAGTTCATACATTATTTTTAGTACATCACACTCGTCTTGTGATGAAGCGTTCTCATTTGTACCTCTATTGGATGACTCTTCGATTTCTTCATCATCTGACTCGTCCCCAAAGGAGTGGCCCCCGCACCTGACTAGTTCTTTAACACCAATTTGTTCGTATGATTTGTTAATCAAATCTGTCAACGTCTGACTGCTTTCCTTCTGTATAAACTGCAACTTCTGACTCTTCAGCAGTAACCAGATACTTACTGATTTAGAGTCTTCGTCTTCCGCGATAAATATCGTAGGTGATGAAGTTTGGGGTGAAAGGATATCCACTTTGTTCATCTGCTCTTCTGGCGATGATTTAACTGTCTTCACGCCGTATTTTAGCTTCAAGGCATCAACAAGAGCTTGTGCTCGTCCCCTCTCAGCTGTTAAAAGCGCATCTATGGTCTTGCCTCGTCGTAATTGAAGACTCCATAAATCTGTATAAACTTGATATTGATCCCGAAAGCTGATTTTCCATTCGTCCTTCTCAAGAAGAAGACCCCTCACTTGCTCCAGTAGAGTGATACTGGATTTAAAACACTCCTCAGCTGTACGGTAGTTACCAAGGCGTGTAAAGGTACCACCAAGGTTAGAATATGCGTTTGCTTCTACAACTTTGTTTCCAGTCACTTCTGCGATACTGAGGCCTTGCTGATAGAATTCGATTGCTTTTTCAAAATTTTCGAGAGAGTCATAAGCATTACCAAGATTCACATATGTTTTTCCTTCCGAATCTTTGTTTCCAGTCTTTTTTCCGATACTCAGATCTCGCTGATGAAATTCGATTGCTTTTTCAAAATCGCCGAGAGAGTGATAAGCAAGACCAAGGTTCCCATATGCTTTTCCTTCTGTATCTTTGTTTTTAGTCTTCTTTGCGATACTCAGACCTTGCTGAAGGAATTTGATTTCTTTTTCAAAATTACCGAGAGAGTGATAAGCAATACCAAGATTTACATATGTTTTTCCTTCTGAATCTTTGTTTCCAGTCTTTTGGGCGATACTCAGAGCTTGCTGATAAAATTCGATTGCCTTTTCAAATTTACCGAGAGAGTCATGAGCAATACCAAGGTTCCCATATGCTCTCCCTTCTGAATCTTTGTTTCCAGTCTTTTGGGCGATACTCAGATCTTGCTCATGAAATTCGATTGCCTTTTCAAATTGACCGAGAGAGTGATAAGCAAGACCAAGGTTCCCATATGCTTTCCCTTCTGAATCTTTGTTTCCAGTCTTTTGGGCGATACTCAGATCTTGCTCATGAAATTCGATTGCCTTTTCAAATTGACCGAGAGAGTCATAAGCAAGACCAAGGTTCCCATATGCTCCCCCTTCTGAATCTTTGTTTCCAGTCTTTTGGGCGATACTCAGAGCTTGCTCATGAAATTCGATTGCCTTTTCAAATTGACCGAGAGAGTGATAAGCAAGACCAAGGTTCCCATATGCTCTCCCTTCTGAATCTTTGTTTCCAGTCTTTTGGGCGATACTCAGATCTTGCTGATGAAATTCGATTGCCTTTTCAAATTGACCGAGAGAGTGATAAGCAAGACCAAGGTTCCCATATGCTCTCCCTTCTGAATCTTTGTTTCCAGTCTTTTTAGCTTCCTTTAATTGTAATTCGAAGTGATCCCGGGCTGTTTGAAAATCACCCCGCTTGAAAGCAGCAATTCCAAGATGACAACCGCAACAGCAGGCCTGGAAGACAAATAAACAAATAAACATGTTTCATTTCCACAGTAATTAAGGTGACTCGACCCAGTTTTTTTTGGGGGGTACCATCCTACTTTGAAGCTCTCTGGTATCCCCACCTTTACTTTTATCGTAAGTCTAACACACAGAATGGATAACATATAGATCAATCTACAATATAACATAAAATTTTTGGCGATCGGAGTAAATGTCACGTGGTTATAATGCCACGCCCCTTTGAGGTCTGAGTCGAAAATCGGCTGTTGCCGGCATTTTTTCGTGAAAATCTCTCGGCTACACGTAGTGCGCATTAGTGCCTTGTGCTGAACAGAGTTTCACCAAAATCGCAAAGACCCAATTCGAGAAATTCAGCGGTTTCCAAATTTAGGTCATAATTTATGCGAAAATGATAAGCAAACTTTACACGGATTATATATAATAAACTATGAGATTCATCTCTTTATTTTGCGCATCGTTATAACAGATGGGTCCTTGCAAGTCAGCAAAACGCTTTAGGGCCTTGTAAATGCGCGCGATTTCGAGCAAAGCAAACATATAGAAATTATAGTTTTCGCTATTTGTTGACGTTTGTCAGCGTTTAAGAGTCCTTCTCACGAAAAAAGCATTTTCTTAAAAATTCGTATTTTTTTTCCTTCAAATTTTTTCAGGGCCACAATTGATTAACTAACTACCCGGACTCTGAATTTCATGGTCATTGAAAAACTGTGACATTATCTTCTACAAGCCCAAACTTGAGTAAACATTGAAGATTTTTAGCGTTTTGGCTGAGTTTGTGCTTTGGGAGTTGTCTATTGTTTCTAGTCTGTCATTATACAGCATTCTTGTTCAGCACGCGTGCAATGACCGCGCTTGGCTGACTTCCGAATGCTCACCGAGATATTATAATTTTGGTACAGTGAGACAGGCCATCGCGTGATACATAGAGGTTTAACTAACAATTTTTCACAAGCCGTAAACATTATACAGAGGATTTTATGACCTACTCCTTATGTAATTTTCACATCTTTTCTCCAGACTACATGCAAGGCATCTTGGACAATCGTGAATCGTTTCTTTTCGCAGGGATACATAGAGAGTTAAGGCAATTATGTAAATTCCACTATTTTGAATTAACACTCGGGTTTCCAGTGGAATTTTACAGAAAATATAAGCTGTCAACATCAGCAGTGAAACGCTGATGCTTTAGTAGCTGTTGTCTTTTGTATTAATTACTGTCAAGAATTTTGTAAATTCTTAATATCATTTCCAGACCCCTTGTCAGTTTTTGAATATACAGTCTCGTCATTTTCTTTAACGGTCACTTAAGATCACTTTTGAAAATGTATGATGAATAGTATACGAAACGTCAAGTTTATAAAAATGTGCTGGACGAATCGGTGTCGCGTTACAGGTGACCGTTGAAAACACAGAGCGCAGTGGATGCCGTGAACCGCCTTTGGTATACAGTAGAATCGAGCAAAACGTCATGCGATCGTGTTACAAATCCGGTATGAAAATGCTACCCAATGCTCCGGAAAACCGCACTAGTCCAGACTACTGTTCCTGGGCACCATCCGTTGGAGTTTACAAAGGTGGTTTAGTCTATTCCCCGTGGGGGTACCCCTGGGAATTCTTTGTGGGGGTGTGCCGCCCGGTTCACAAAATCCAGACCAGATTTCAGACCAAAAAATGTCATTTTCCACACCCGTTTTCAGACCAGACCTCTTAAATCCATAACTGTTTTCAGACCTGGCCTTTAGACAGAAATTATGTTATCAATTCTCCAAAGCCATTTCGAATTCGCATATCTTTCTTTTTTTCTTACTCATTTGGAATTGAAACGATACTACGTTCATATAATCCCGTGGTTCTCTGAAAAACCATACCCGATTCCAGAAACGACCAAAACGGCGCAAAAACCCTACCCGATAGGGCCGCCCAAACCTAATTATAGCTTATATAAGGGAGTTCCCCCCCGGCCGGGTCTTTTCATACCCGCAATCGCATCGCATCCTGTACTGGATCAAAAGTGAGTAGAGAATGAAGATGTTTGCAGGTACCGATACAGAAGGCAGCAGAGATGGCTTAGCTTCGCCTGCTGAATTCTGCAAACCGGCAGGGCTTTGTGTAGCCTGCGAACAACAGGCGCATTTCCGGTCGTCGCTTCTCTCCCTCCGAAAAATAGGAGGGAGAGAAGCGAAGACATGGAAACGCGTCTACTGTTCGCAGGCTAGGCTTTGTGTGGAATTTGACCATGTTTTGTATATGTGTGACTCTGCATGAAACCGCTGCATTTCTACACGTAGTAGGAAAGCTTTCTCCTTCCACGAGGAGCATGCAAAGTACGAGCTCTGCAACCTACAAGATGTCGTTACATTGCATAAAGAGTCTAAAGAAACATTGCACTATCTTCGCCGCAACGAGGCCTTGATACAAAGTGAAATTCCAAGCTTGCCAACATTTTCCATGACCCACAGTCCACGTAAAGAGGGTGTGAATGGGGTTGACCGAATAGCGACAAAGGGCGAAAAATACTACTGACTACCGACAAAACGCGAAAAAAATTAGCGACTACCGATAGGAAAAATATTAACCGACTACCGACATGGACTGACATTATCTATATTTTATTTTACAGAAAAAGGAGCATCTTGTATTTTTCCTACGTTTCTGGGAAGAAACCTAAGATACCACCGACTTTCTAAATTTAATTGAAAAGACAAAAAAGGTGAAAAACCGAACATTTGTTATTTCGATGGACGTCACAAGTCTTTATAGAAATATACCACTAGAGGGTATTGAAATAGTTTGCATAGCATATGAAAATTTCTACAAAGTAACCCACCTATTCCTGCACATTACCCGCGAGAAAAGCTTACATTAATCCTCAAAGAAAATTATTTCCAGTTCATTGGAAAGCAGTCCACCTACAAATCCACGGTACCGCGATGTGTACAAAGACAGGAGTTTTCCTTTTGACAACATTTTCATGGCATATATTGAAACACATCAAGTCTAAGCAAAATCGTCTTTAAACTAACTGTTTGGAAACGCTACATCGATGACATTTTTTCGCTGTGGGACATAAGTAAACCTCAGACATCGTATCCTTCTTCGAACAAGCAAACTTACATTACCCTGCTGTTAAATTCGCCACCGAAATTCCCACTGAGACAATGTTTTTAGCCCGGGGAGGAGGGGTACTCCCTATAATGGCCTATACGGGGAGGCCTCGCCCGAAAGGGGTACAGTTTTCAAGCTTCAGGTATATATGAAAGGGTATAGGAATTTTACTCGTTGAAGTATATGAAAGGGAAGGAAGTCCGTCATTTGGGTCTGTGAAAGGGCCCAAAGGACTAACAGATGATTTTATGGCTTTATAAAGTCGAGAAAACGTTCTAGTTTTGTGATCGATTCCTGTTTAAAAGACAGTGCATTTACAGCAGTTAAAAGGGAAGCAAAGTTCTAAACAAGGTATGTGAAAGGGGTACTATTTGTTAATAGAAGGTATACGAAAGGGGTACCTTTTTCGAAAAAAATGGTATATAAAAGGGTAAGGGGTGGGACCTCGGGGCGGAGCATCCCCATATAAACATTTGTTGAGTACCCCTCCCCCCGGTTTTTAGACACAGTTGCATACAAAGGCACAACATTCAACGAAAAAGCTATCCTTGATGTAAAGACACATTTTAGACAAACGGAAATCTTCCTTCGCCCCTTGTCAGCCAGTTAAACAACGTTTGAGGAAAGAGGGTCTCAATGGGGTGGTGGCATTTACGGTTATCGGCTAAAATTTGACTCTTTTACGGCTATCGGTTAGTTTTTTTCAGTTACGGTTAACTATAAAGTTAAAAATATTATTTCTTTGTTTCAAAGAGTTAAATATTAATAAACCTGTATTTTTTTGTATCTTTTAAGGCAAAATAAATGTCGTAGGATCATCTCGGGATGAAATAAGTTATTCTTCTGAAAATTTTTAATATTTCATAAATCATGCTTTTAGAGTATCCCATTTCTAATATCATTTTACGCATAGAAATGTTAACTATGAAAACGTTTGTCATCTTTTGCATCTTGGCGTGATTTCCTTTTCTTTAGGGGCCACTGATTCGTTCTTCGCGTCGCTTTGTATTTGCTACCCTGGCTACCCTCTTCTCTTTTTGCTACCACGATAGGGTCTTTACCCCACTGAAGAGTGTACAACATGAACTAAAAAAGAACAAGCATACAGATTGAGACTCGAACAATTCTCTGACTCTCACATTTACAAGTGCCGGAGGAAAGCTGAGAAGTACGCGGCTTTGAAGATCTTTGCCGCAGTTTTCTCATTCTCATAAACTGACATGAATTCTTTGTTAGGACCGTTCCAAATGAAAGACATAACAGTTTATTTGAACAGAATCCTCGTGAAAAGTAAAACTAGCCGAAACGGGAACGTAAAGAGCCAAGAAAGTAACCGCGAAATAAGAAACACAACCGTTCTAAGTGAGTTTAGCACCTTCCTCAAATTATCAAATCTAAGGAGCAACGGTTAAAATTTTTCAATTTTTACGGCTATCGACTAAATTTTGGGCCGTTTTACGCCTGTCGGTTAACCCCATTGAGACCCTAAGGAAAGTATTTCAAGTCTTAAAAAACGCTTGGTGGACAGTTTGACATAAAAATTGCTATCAGAAATAAGTAACTTAAAAACTCACAGAAACTGGAAATCACATGTGAGTCACTATGAATCTTTGTGACAACAATTTCCGGTCAATGATTTCGTCTGCCGCAACGAAAACCAGTGCTCAAATGGTTCTAGCCTGCGAGCAAGCTCTCCTGTTTGGGCGAGTGAAACGGGTCTCGCGAGAACGCGCTTGCCCAAATAGGAGAGCTTGCTCGCAGGCTAAAATGGTTCCAGGAGGGACTCTATTAATTTGTCAATTATTCCTCAGGGCTAAATTGGCACGTTTGGGCTGAAA